AAATCAATTTTAATCATGCTTTTATCATGAAACGACCAGACTATGCCAGAAGACACGGCAAAGTAATTTTGCTTCATGATGACGCACCATCACACACTTCAAAACCAGTTTAAAGACACGTTAAAAGATCTTGTCTGGGAAGTATTATCCCACCCACTGTATTCGCCAGACCTAACTTCTTCAGATTACCACTTGTTCCGATCGATGGCACACGCACTTTCTGAGCAGCACTTCAAAACATACGAAATGGAAAACCCGGGCCGCCCCCGTTGGAGGACCCGCCCGGCGGGCCCAGTGCGCCTTTGGAACTTCAGGTCTTACCCTTCCAGGCTGGGCCGCCTATAACTGGGCTGTGGCCCATCCCTGGGTGCCAGTAACTTTTTCTCTTTTTAAAATATTTTTTACAGAGAGGAAGGGAGACGGATAGAGTCAGAAACATGGATGAGAGAGAAGCATCCACCAGCCGCCTCCTACACCCCCCTCCCCCCACACTGGGGATGTGCCTGCAGCCAAGGTACATGCCCTCGGCCAGAATCGAACCTGGGACTCTTCAGTCCGCAGGCCGAGGCTCTATCCACTGAGGCAAACCAGTTAGGGCGCCAGCAACCTTTTCCTAAATGTTGGGGGGCGGGGGGAGTAGTGGGTAAAGAGACCGTTCTCTGCTCGAAGCTTGTTGGGGCCTGAAACTCTGGGGCCTTCTATCAGGAGATGGGGGTCAGCGGGGGAGCGCAGGTGAGATCTGAGAGGTCAGGACCCTTTCTGCAGCTCACCTCCCCACATGCCTGCAGCACCTCCCCAACAGCCGAACGCCTCCCCAACATCAGCTCACCTCCCCACATGCCTGCAGCACCTCCCCAACATCTGCACGCCTCTAGCTCAGACCGGCTCCCTAGCTCACCTGCCACCCTGCCTCTGCACAGCAGACTTGGTGTGGCTCAGGCTGAACCCACCCCTTTCTTCCTCCAACCTGCCCCTCCTGGGGTCTTTATCTCAGCAAATGCACCCACTCGCCCCATCCTTTCTACTGGGCGGCTACTGCCTGCCTACTTCCTGCTCCACACGCCTTCATAAACACCTGCCCTAAAACTTGATAGTTTTCCTTTGGCCAACCAATCACAGTATTTCCCACACTTGGTGGCAATGCACTCCCCATTGTCAGCAGGTTCTGGCTGTCATCCTGAACTTTCTCTGGGGGCCTCCATCGGTAGCAGGGAACAGAGAGGCATGAGTAGGAACCACAGGCAGGTGCAGAGGTCACCAGGAGAACCAGGTGTCCAGCAATGGGCAAAACCACAAGCCCTTGCAGGACCACTCCCTTAAGCATTACCCCCTGGGGACGGCTTTAGGCCTCAGCTGTGCTCCAGGTCCAGCGAAGTAGCAAAATCAGTGACTGCCTGTGGCTGGCATCAGGACCAGCTGCCTGGACTACTGACCCCCTGGAGCCAACCAATCAGTGGAGACTACCACCCTGAGGGGGCACACCTGGAAAGCTGATGAACATTCTATTGGATCCTCCCCTGGGGCCCGAGATAAAGGGATAAAAGCTCTTAAGACAGGGACCTAGAGTGTGCTCTCTTCTCGGGGCATGCTCAAGCCTTTCCTCCCTCTCCCATCTCTCAAGGCAAGTCTCAGTCTCTCTCTCTCTCTCTCTCTCTCTCCCTCCCTCCCTCCCAAGCTCCAAGGGCCCTTCTTTTGGCTCTGTAGCTCGTTTCCTGAGCCCATTTCTTCTATGGCTCATTTCTTCTACCTTTGTGACTTTCTAAATAAACTTTCTCTTTAAAAAAAGTTTTTTTTATTGATTTCAGAGAGCAAGGGAGAGGGAGAGGAAGAGATAGAAGCATCAATTATGAGAATCATTGGTTGGCTGTCTCCTGCAGGCCCCACACTGGGGATTGAGCCCGCATCCCGGGCCTGTGCCCTTGACCAAAGATGGAATTGGGACCTCGTGGTTCAGAGGTCAATGCTCAACCACTGAGCCACGCTGGCCGTGCTAAACTTTCTTTTGTAGTTTGAGTCTTCGCTCTTAATTCTTTCTTAGCCAGAACTCGCGTACTGAGGTTGCTGAACTGAAGTCTAACACCTGCCAACATTTCCAAAGGCCTCCCTGAGGCTTCCGCCTGGCGGTGTATCTGGCCGATGCTTCTCCCCACCACCAGGGGAGCTTGAAAGGAAAGACTGGATTATGGCAGAAAGGGGAAAGGAGGAGACAGAAAATCTGGGAAGGGTTAGGGCTCAGAGTTGCCCAGGACTCAACCTCAGCCCTAGCTCTGTCAGCCTCTCGGAACCCTGAAGGACACAAGAGAAAACAGAACATTTCCATTAAGACCAACAGCATTTTGTCACTTGTCAGTGCCCACCC